TTTATTATCATGATAATTATTTATTGAGATAGGATATTATTTTTTTTCATACACACTACTTTTTTTTTTTCTACATTATTTGATCAGAATTTTAATTAATCTTCATCGTTTATCTCTTCAAATATTAAAAATGAGTAAGTAAAATAAATGTGAAAAAAAACAAACATGATATGATAGCCCGTATTTATTTTATTTATTTAATAATTACGTATTCCTTTTTTATTTTAATATTGCTATATCTTTGATGTCTATAGACTAGACTTTATCAGTCAACCAGTAGAGGCGGTGAAGTCCTCCTAATTATGTGAACCAGAGAGTGGCATGTCTTAAATGGACATTGACTTTATATGCCCAATTTTGATCTATGAAAGTGGAAGGAAATTTCGGTCTATGGATGTATCTATTTGTCTCGTAACAACAGTAGGTGAGTTTGACTTTCTATGAGACACCAAACACACCATCTTGTTATCTTCATCTCTCTATCTCTCCCCAACAAAAAATAAAATAATAAAAAATTTGGACCTTAGATTGTGAAGAAGAAAAGGATAAAAAATAAAGCGGAAACTAACTTGCATTTAAGATTATAGCCGATAACTCTCTTTAAGTCCGTGGGCACTGGTGTGGGCCGTGAGAGCCTGGTCCGGTCTTTCTCGATTGGGTTTGGGCCCTGTGGAACATGTGCAATATATATCAAGTCTGTTTAGATTCTCTTTTATTTAACTTAGAAGTTATTTATAAGTTAAAATTAAGAAAAAGAAATTAAAAAAAAAAAAGTTAAAAGCTTTTTGGTGATTACTTAAAATTTTTAGTTTATAAAAACTTAAAAACACATCTTTCAAGAAAACTCTCTCTCTCTCTCTATAGCTATAGCTCTTTATTTAAAAAAAAACACACAATTCAAGAAAAACTAATAAAAGCTTAAAAAAAGACTTCTCTTAGGAGTTTTTAGCTTTTAGCTTTTTTCTTCATTATATAAAAAAGAGCTTTTCATTATGAGAGCTTTTCTCAAAATCTGTTTAGCCTAATTTCTACATATAAGTAGCTTCTAGTTTAAAAAATAGAATATCCAAACATGCACATCATCTATTGTAAAAAGTGGTTATCCTAAAATACAAAAAAAAAGTGGTTATCCTATCTTTGTAATTTTGCAACAAGGGCCAAGCCCAGATATTTGGTAGACTATTACACTAAGCAAGCTTAGAGGAATTGTAGCTGAACCCATTATGTTAACTGGGTTCTTAATTTTCTTATATTTTACTAAGTTTTAATTTCAATTGTGAATTGTCGTTTTGATTTGTAGATCTGGAATACATTGGACCTGGAGGAATGAAAATGCTAAGAAAAGTTTGAGAAATTATCTCCTTTCTGAAATGTCCTTTTGCAAATCTCTATTGTTATTCATGTACTTATTCTGATGTCTGATCATAGGCTTATGTGCATGAAGTTTAGAATGTCTAATGCAACTCAGTTTAGACAAAGTCCTTTCGGATTTAATGCAGTATGATTAATATATGATTCCTTCCGCTTATTTGTATGTATGCTTGGAGAAAGGAAGACTGTTGCATGTGATCACCGCTTAGAATAAACTGGTGTTTTGGCTATGTGTTCGACCGAATTAATACTTCATTATTGCCTAATTAATGGGGACTGACAGGAAATTTTTATGAGCAATATAACAATTCTTTAACAAGCTTTAGAAGGATTTATGGGCTACATATCACAATAATTATCTCAGGAAAATTTGATTAATGTAATGTTCACTTAGGTTATCGAATCATTTGAGACGATGTTACGAATTTTTTAGTTTTTATTTTATTTTATTATTTTGTTATTGTTGTTAATTAGTTACTAGACTAGTATTTGAATTTGTTTGAATAAGATTTGGCAATTTCCACAAGCCTAGCAAAGTGGGTAGAGGTAGTTTTAGGTGGTTCCTATTTTTATGCATTATGGCTTTGATATGTAATTGTCTATTTAATTAGAGTTCTGATGAATAAAACAAAACGTTGAAAATTATTAGTTTAGCACTGTGTGCAAGAGGTCAATCTTCCTAGGTAAAGCCACCATTTTTTCTTTCTTTTGTTTATCTCCTTGTTCCACCATACTTGTGTCACAAAAATAGCCAAGATAGAGAAGAAAGCCCAAGACAGGACCATATACATAACAACTTGGTAACAGAGCCAGGCAACAGTTATGGACAAACGTGTGGAAAAACTAGAAGATGCAGTTCAGGCACTCTCCATTCAATTGAAGGAGATGTTCACCAAACTATCCAATCGGCTAGATACTCTAGTACCGATCACCAAACTCTCTTATTTCCATTGTTCTCATCTCATTCCTGAGGCTTCCACACCAAAACATTTTTCTCTTTCTTTCCCCACCAAATGAGTAACCCCCCTTAACACTACCATTGTTGTTAAAAATTTGAATATAGTCAAAGTGTCTCGATTAAATATGGTCGCTCGACCAAAAACCCAAATTTTTGGTCCAATAAGTCTTTCACTTTTACAATCCTTTGAGAAGAGGAAAGAAAAAGTTGTGGCTACATGACATTTTCCAATCAACAGCAATGGAGAGGCAGAAATGGATATTGAAGATGATTCAATAACTTGAAATTGATCTTACTCTTGGGGACAAGAGTAATTTTTAAAGGGAGGTAATGTTACGAATTTTTTAGTTTTTATTTTATTTTGTTATTTTGTTATTGTTGCTAATTAGTTACTAGACTAGTATTTGAATTTGTTTGAATAAGTCTTGGCAGTTTCCACAAGCTTAGCAAAGTGGGTAGAGGTAGTTTTAGGTGGTTCCTATTTTTATGCATTATGGCTTTGATATGTAATTGTTTATTTAATTAGAGTTCAGATGAATAAAACATTACGTTAAAAATTATTAGTTTGACACTGTGTGCAAGAGGTCAGGCTTCCTTGGTAAAGCCACAATTTTTCCTTTCTTTTGTTTTGTCATCTTTTTGTTCCACTATACTTGTGTTACAAAAATAGCCAAGATAAGGAAGAAAGCCCAAGACAGGACCGTAGAAACTCCAAATTATATCTTTGTTCCAACTTGGTCAATTCCCCGAAGAAATCAACAAATTGATTGGCACCGTACCCGAAACTCCAACCAAGTGATATGGGGATGGTCTTGGATGAGTAATTGGTACCATAACTCAGCATCTCCTGTGAGATGGAAAGATGCTAGTGAAACTCTTTCTTCTTCTAGGGTGTGATGATATTGGAAAAATTGTTCAGCTCGGCATAACCAACTAGTTGGGTCTTCATTGTCATTGAATCGCGAAATATCCAACTTGACTACCTTCAAAGCGTATGTTGCGTGCGATTCTAAAGCATTGTGGGAGCTGCTTCCAGAATGATCCCTTTTTTTGACGTGTTGGTGTGGTGGCCATAACATCCAACCTATTGGAAAGTTAAACGAACATATCCTTAAATTGTTTTGACAAGGACTGGACTGTATTTTTCAATCTCTCCACACGTTCATCCATGCCTCTGCTTTTATACCAAGTTGGTACGTACAAGGGTTTGTCTTTCCTATCTTGGCTATTTTTGTAACACAAGTATGGCAAAACAAAGAGATGACAAAACAAAAATAAAGAAAAATGGTGGCTTTACTGAGGAAGCCTGACCTCTTGCTTGCACACAGTGCCAAACTACCTCTACCCACTTTGCTAGGCTTGTGGAAACTGGCAAGACTTATTCAAATACTAGTTTAGTAACTAATTAGCAACAATAACAAAATAATAAAATAAAAACTAAAAAATTCGTAACATTACAAGGTCCTGTCTTGGGCTTTCTTCCCTATCTTGACTATTTTTGTAACACAAGTATGGTGGAACAAGGAGATGACAGAACAAAAGAAAGAAAAAATAGTGGCTTTACTGAGGAAGTCTGACCTCTTGCACATAGTGCCAAACTAATAATTTTCAACGTTCTGTTTTATTCATCAGAAATCTAATTAATTAGACAATTACATATCAAAGTCATAATGCATAAAAATAGGAACCACCTAAAACTATATCTACCCACTTTGCTAGGCTCTTGGAAACTGCCAAGACTTATTAAAACAAATTTGAAGAGGGATATTCTTACTACCAAAATTTTCTACTACCAACTTACTACCTATCTAATCACCATTAGATTAACATTTTCTCTCTCTTCAAACACTTTTTAACATTCTCTCTCTTTGATCCAATGGTGATGTGATGGGTAGTAAATTAGTAGTGAGAATTTTTGATAGGTAGAATATCCTCACTCAACAAATTCAAATACTAGTCTAGTAACTAATTAGCAACAGTAACAAAATAATAAAATAAAATAAAAACTAAAAAATTCGTAACAGACAAATTTTTTTTCTTCCTTTTTTTGCTAAGGATAAGTTAGCATAGGAATTTTTATACAAATTTCTGAGATATAGATTAAAAGTCCGCAGTGTAACTAAATAAAACGAAAAACCATGTTGCACTTAACAAACGAATTTGTGACAACACATCTATTTTAAAGTTTTTTCTTTTAAATGCATTTGACATTGCAATAAGTCATTATGAATTTCACACAGTTGCCCTACTTTTCTTGATTTCTACTTCACCAATGAAATTGACTTAATCAAAATCGAATAATCAAGGGCGTAAGCATAAGCCAAAACAATATGTTCTCCTTGGGTTGACTTTACCGAAATGAAACATTGATTATTGGATTAGGTTTTTTTTAATATTAATTTTTTTAATGAAGCTCACAATTAGAGCAGGTTTCCTGGAGATGCTTACTGGCATTGAAAATTGCAAGGCCTTTGTTGACGTGACATATTTTTACACAAGCATATTTTTAGGTCTTCTGAATAATGATTTAAAATTTAAATGAACAAAAAGCAAGTAGCATAAAAATAAAATGCAGATTTTTAGAGTATAAAAGAACTTGAAGTGAGAATCTGCCAACTATTGTTTATAGTTTTAGCAGATGTGCTTGCATTGTCTGCATAAAATAAGGTTTTGAATTCGGGATTATACCTTTGTAAATCACATCTACATTGAGAAAATAAAAATTAGCATATTGTGATGTGCATAACATAAACCTTTATAAACTTCATTCCATCATGAATGAAAAATGTCTAAACCATAGACCAAACCAGCAGAGCGCCAACATTCACAATGGTGAAATTTAACTTCCAAATGAGGTTCAAAGGTAGGCTGCGTTAATTCATTATAATACAAAGGGAGATCAACAAAGATGATGATAGAGAACTGAAAGAAGAAAAGTGACACCTCAGTCCTCCATTTGCTTTTGACATATATATTGTACAAGGTGCAACTGTGCCAGCAGAAGAAAGAAACATTCAGCTGTCCCTAAAGGGTAAAGCAGAGACAAAATCCTCTATTTTTTGAAGCTCTTTATGTTATTGGTAGTTGTACTCTTCCTTCACATTGAAGTGAACACGGATAACACTTCTTCCAAGTCAACTTTGGCTATGTATCAAACATTACTAATTGATGATGGTACGTCCACCAGGTCATGCTTTAGCGCCAAGAAATGCTTGCTGGAAGTGGGAAGAAACAAAAGAAAAATGCTAAACATCTTAGAACATATAGCGCAAGTGTTTAAGAGAGAAGAACATGGTCCTCGGATTCAACCAGATAAAGAATAAAACCGAAAATCCATCTTTATAATTTTCTGATAAACATTAGCAATTAAGATAATAGATTCTGCAAAAGCATTTAACATAGAGGCGATAATCATGCCTTCATATAATAGACAGCTAAACAATTGAATTCATGATGTAGAAAAGCATGTTAAGAAGAATTTGAGTGCAATGTGCTACAGACACTTTGACACTAACACTTCACCAACTACTGACCTAAAATACTCAAACTAGTCCTTCTTTGGCTAACCTTATAAAATGGTGGCTCGGTGCATGAAACTCCCACCATTGTGGGGTTTTGGGGAGGGTCAGATGTACACAACCTTACCCAAGTAAGAAGAAAGGCTATTTCCATGACTAGAACCCATTACCACCGGTCACAAGACAACTTTACTGCTATGTCAATGCTTACCCTCTTAAGAATCCTGTTTTATACTTGCACTTAATGTACTTAAGAATTCTGTTTTAGCTATGTCCTTAAGGTTCTCAGCATGTATCAATAGTTCAAGATTCAAATCAAATCCCATTATTTTCAAACTTCTTAATACAATCCTATTATCAACATGCATCAGGGGATGGTGTGAACGTATACGTGGAAATAGTAGTAATAGCATACTTTAATCAATTCTCCAGAAGTGTGTAGAAAGACTGAAAGCAGAACTTTTCCATAAACATCATCATATAGCTCTGGATTTCAGCTATGTCCTTAATTGTTCTTTCTTAATGGCATCAATAAGCTAAGTCAAAACTTTCAATACGGTGCCAGAATTTTATAGCATCTGAAACTATTCTCTATTCCAGCACACGCTTTCTAGAGAATACATTTTACGACTATATAAATGGTTAATTATTTAAGCCTAATAGAAAGAACAAGCATAAAGCCATAGGTGTGTGTATAATCCAACTGTAGTTTACAGCTTTGTCAAAATAAGTTTTTAATCTTTCCGAAATTTTAATTCCCAAATCCACTTCCAGTTTGCACAATATCATGTTATCTAGGTCAGATAGAAATGATAGAAACTGATCCTTGAAAAGTTAAAATCGTAGGTCTAATTATCCAAAGAAATTATTTCCACCGTTCCCTACAGGGAGAAAATATGGCAGTGTGTGACTACATATGACACCTCAAAAACAATGCAACCAAAAATATCTTTGTGCTTTTTCTTCAAACTAGAACTGCAGATTGCGTGCTAGTTTTTCCTCAACAAATTCATGCTTATCCACGTCTTATTTCATTACTAACATCAAGAAACTTTAAAACAACTATTATTATTATTTTTTTTGGTACATAATTTTTTTATCATTATTACTGAACATCTGGAAGTTCAGGATTCAAGAGATCAAAATACCTTAAATTTTGTTGGAGTACTAGGCTTAACTGTAGTTGTGCTCTTAAAGCCAAATTTAGGCTTTTTATCTAGAGGCTTCAATATTTGAAAAGAGCACACAAGTGTCTCATCAACAGTCATCATAGCGCCAGCATTGTCAAACTCTCCACAGTAATTAGGTGCTGAAAAGATTGTTACAAGCTGTCTATTAGCAAAGAATTCATACCCGTCTTCAACAACCTGCAACATGAAATATAATCAGCATATTATACACTTGGATTCCTGTTACTGTTATGATTACAGATTTGAAAGGAATATGAAACCTGGTGGGCTCTGCAAATTAAATCAAGATCATGCTTTTGAAGAAATTCTGTCACCCTATCAGCACCAAAAGTATAGGAAACTCCACGTTCATTATCTCCCCAACCCTGAATTTCTCTACTAGGATCAGACCAGAGAAGGTCACATAGTAGACCAGTTTCAGGGACTTCAATAGGACGTGGCAAAGTCCTTATCTGATTTAAACTGTGTAAATCAGGAGAGAGTCCACCATGCATACAGATTATCTTTTCATCAATGAGAGCTGCCACAGGCAAGCAGTTGAAACAATCTGTAAACACTTTCCAAAGCCTGACATTGAATCTCCTTTTACATTCATCATAAAATCCATAGATACGGTTTATAGAAGCACATTCATGGTTACCCCTCAGAAGGAAAAAGTTCTCAGGATATTTTATTTTATATGCCAGAAGAAGACATATAGTCTCCAGACTTTGCTTTCCACGATCAACATAATCCCCTAAAAATAGATAATTAGAACGAGGTGGCAATCCACCATACTCAAAGAGTCTCAGAAGGTCGGAATATTGACCATGGACATCTCCTGGTAACATAGTGAAGTGAAACAAGACATTAGCTCCAATCTCAAATTACAAAATAAAATTTCATTTTGGACAGAAGAAAATGATGCATGATGATTGCCATAATCCCGCAAACAATTACAATTTGAAACCAGACTCCAAATCTTATTGTCCAATATGGGATACTTATATCTATTTAGACTAAAAATCATTTAAAAAGAAGATAGAGAACAAAACTACTAATTACAAAATAAAAATAATTTGAGCAGTTCTTAGTAGTCAACATAGAGATACAGATATTCAAAGTTATATAGTTATGCAAAACATATAGAACTTCCCATGGACTAATTCTGACTCAACAATTTAATGCACAATACATCAACCTGTCCTAATATAGGTCACATTACATGGACCTCCTGTCTGTATCTTCACATTACACAACAAAACAACTACATAATGAACACACCCTGTTCCGGATGGCCCAAGCACTGGTACAGCCCAGCTGGCCAGGCCCAATCCTCAGCCCCAACCCACGTCAACCCTAAGGGCTGACGTGGACTCCCGCGCCCTCCAACCCTGCAGCATGTCCAAGGGATACACCGAAATATCCCATCTCGGGACGCTAACCACCAAAGGCGTCAGCCACAGGCACCATAAAGGAAAAACTACCCCCTGCCCAAATGCTGACATCGCCAGACGCAGAAGGCGTAGCGCTGCCATTTGGCAGCGCCAGACACGCCCAACACTGCTATCATGGGAGTACATCCCAAGGAGGGTTGACCCCTCCTCACCAACCCACACCATTTTCCCTATAAATAGCCCCCATGGGCACAACTTAAAGGCATCTTATGTATCGTGATATTGCCCATTTACTTTGAGTCCTATTACTTACTGCACTTACTTATTGTCTTGCTATTGCTTGGCATAATACCTCTTAGCCTGGTCTGTACCTAAGCTAAGGGTATCTCTCATACAGTGACTCATCCCTAAAGGGAACATAGTGGGCTTATAGATCCCAACGGTAAACACCCAAATACACACTATGATGGCCTCAATAATAGTTAGTAATAGTTATTAAATTATACTACAGAAAACTCTAGCAGAAACCGTTAAAAAAGAACTTGCAGTAAATGAATTTATTGAAAATTTGGTTGGTTGTTGTTGGAGGAGAATGGCCATTGTAATTTTGCCAAAATACATAGGATCTTGGTGTGAGTTTGATAGACCTCCCATTACTAAGGTGTGAGAGGAAGGCTAATAAAGGAGGTGGAGGAATGTCCCACGTGGTTAAGGAGGGTGAGATGGAATTTTAGGAAATATTCATGCAGCAGGAGTGGGGCATAACAGAATCAATGATGTTGCAGAAAACACAGCAAAGGTGAGTCGGTTAGTGGGTGAATATAAGGTGGAATTGAGAGGAAGAGCTAGGAAAGAATTTGATGAGGTTTAGGAAGGGAGGTTGCAGCCTCTCAAAGTGCTGCTCTATCTTTGTTATTTCTGTTTTGGTTTGAGCGAGTATGTTTTCAGATTACTCATCTAATACTAATGTCAGTGGCGGAGGAGTGTTTTCAGTTAGTTGATTCAATAAAATAGTGTTCTAAGTTTCAAGTTCTTATCAGAAGTACAGTTTATTTATAATACAAATCCTGTTACTATATTGAGTTTTTAACTGCTTGGTGAGGACATTGTGAGGTGATAAATTGAGAAAAGCTTCTTCCATGAAAAGCTTATTACTTAAAAAGTCGGAAAGCATAGAAATGTAGCTTAATGCACACAGCTAGAACACTTAAAATTTTCTTCATACAGAAACAACAACCCCTATCCCCCCCAAAAAAAGTTCATGTTTTGACCCTTTTTTGGCATAAAAAAACACGACAGAAAGCAATCACTATTTCAGGAGAGCAAGTGCAACTAGACTTCTAAGTCATTGAAAATTTAAAATATTTACTAAACATATTAAGAACTGAAATCTCATATCTCCTAGTTATAGAAGACACTGAAAGCAATATGAATTCTTTGATATTCCCAAGCACAGGATATGGTACCATGGCAAGGAAGAACATAATAGGATCCACCACACTGTATTTATCAATGCATACCCAACCAACATATCTCCCACAGTAAAGTTAAGAAACTTATCATCAAAATTACAAATAACCTTCCCCACAGTATACTAAAGAAAGAATAAAGACAAAAAGGAAATTGGGCAGCAGAGCAAGAACGACTCAAATGCAAGCAGAAAACCTATGTCCCTGCAATAATTTAAACTTTTTAAAGAATTTTACAGATCGTACCATGTTGATAAAATAGAGCTTATTGCTTGTTTACAACTTAAATTGTCTTATTAAAAACTTTATGAGTACTATAAATATAACCAGCAGCAATTGAGGTGACATAAACATAATGTCAAAAAATAAATAAAATACAAATCATGTATTTGAAGCTGCAAGAAAACATTCAGGTCAACAATTCATTGATGTGGAATGGGTAAATCATACAGTGCCATAAACTATAAACCAACAGACATTGCTTGTCAATCATGGTAAATCGAGGCATTTGAGTTGCAGAGGGAACAAATTCATGTTTCATTACTTACAAGTGAAAATATGTGATACATTTGCTAAGACCATAATAGACGAAGATAATTTCATTTCCATACTGGACATCATTTTATTAGTATACTTCACTTTGTATCATAAAAATCCTTCCACGAAAAGCTTTGCTTCGTTAAAGCCTCAGTGAAGAATCTGAAGATGACTAAGTTTCTAGAAAGTATCTTCTCATTCATGCTGTACTCTAACCTATCAAGACTAATATAAAACTTCATAGAATAAGTTTTCTAAAAACCTCAAGTTGAATTGAGCACACTTCTATGAAACAATCATAAGAACAGAATAAGACGAGACAATTTAACATTCCCAAAATCAAAATTTAACACGAGCTCATCTCTTTCGAGGGGGAGGGCCTCTTTTACATAAATATGATAAGTATAATGCATTTTAAAGAGTCTAATCAAAACCTCATAATTCTAGAGACATCTCGGAAACTTAATATTCAAATCAGAAAGGTCGCAGCATTGTGGGGTCTAGGGTCAGATATACGCAACCCTACCAACAAAAAAAAAACCAAGCTTCACAAGTTGTTGCAAATTTGATCTCCACTTCGATACTAACAAATTTTGTTTTCCCTATAAACTAAAACAACTTTTAGACCATAGTTGTTTTGGATGGAAATAAATAATTATATCGTATAGGCTTAAGTTGGTTTAATGTCAGACACAACAATCCACACATCAAAAAATAAAAAAAAAATTCAGAGTCAGTAAGTCATCACGAAACTCACATGACCATATAATATAAATAAAATAGACTAAGAAATAGAAACATGTGATGGGGGGGGGGGGGGGGGGGGGGGGGGGGGGGGGGGGGGGGTTGAGGAAAAAGATACCGCAGATCTTAATTGGTGCCTCGAGTTCCAAGAGGTTTGGCTGCTTCAAGAAGATATCCTTGGAGACAAGACAAAGCTGCTTAATCTCTGACTCAGAAAGCTGCACCTGCTTCACGGGTCTCCCTCTGACTTCAAGCAGCCTATTGATGATACCATCAAGAACCCCACGTTCCATGAGTTTTCAAAACTAAAGTCAAGACAAGAACAACAACTGAGTGAAACGAAAAGAGCTTAGCTAAGGACAACAGTTAGTAACATCAGTTCGATGTTGCGGGTTGGGGTTCGTTTGTCCATTTATATATTGGCATTTGGTCACTTTTAAAACCAACAAGGAGAGAAATAACTTTAAGTCAAATAAAAAGACCATTTCTTAGTTTTTGGCATAATGTTTTTTTATTTTTTTATATTTTGGTTTGGTTATTATAGAAGGTTTACAAAGGAGTGGTGGGTGTTGAAAAGTGGAAATTGAAGAACATATTCGCATGAATTCAAATGGAAAAAGAAAAGTGTGAAAGTGGAGACTATACGCAGAGAATTGAAGGGAAAGAGAGAAAGAAGAATAAAATGGGTGCGTTGTGGGGCCCGGAACGGAAGGGAACTAAACAAGGAACAAACTGAAAAGACATAAATAACATCGATGGATTTGGATTACGCGGTTTGAGTTTTCAGATTGGCAACTTGGTTTGTCAGTGCATGATCACACATTCTGTGTATTGTACCAAACTAAGAAACCAATTGCTTAAATGAGATAACATTCGCCACCTATCTGTTGGCCATTATTTTCAATAAGTAAAATGTGTAGCAAGCTTTTTACCCAAAAAAATTGAGTAGCAGGCCTCGTTTCCTCACATTATCTTTGGTCAAATAACCATAGTGAAAATAATGATGATAAGATAATAATAATAATATAAAACCAGCTATAATTAAATGATAAAAATCATGTAAATACAAAGAAATATGTGCTAGTATTAGTATGAATGATAATAATCTTTCTACAAAAATTGATGCGGAAACATATCGTATTCATATTGTACCAAATTTCTGAATTCAGGCTAGGTAAAATACTGACATAATTTTGTTACACTAATATACACAATATAAGAATAAAAAAGAATATATTTTTTGTATTACATGAAATAATTACGCAGGATTTAACGGGCCGTTTTACAAATAATCTGAATTTATCGGTGCTACACTTTTTTTCTTGGCGAGACTGGGAACAAGTTATGATAGACTATTTTTTATTTTGATGAATCGGGCGAAATGACTATCCCAATAACCAAAATTTTCACCGTTTTCGATATTTTATCAATGGCTTTTCTGCATTGCTGGGCATGAACGGTTTTGTTGCAGAATTAATAATTTTCTTTTGAAATAATTATCAGTCTCATGCGACACACAAAAAAGTAAGTGAAGTCAAATTTTTTTCTTCCTCTTTTTTTTTTCCTCAGCGTGTTTTACCTATTTTTTTATCAATTGCATAAAATAAATATGATAAACATATTTTCCAAGAATAAATGACTTGTTCGAATTTTATAAACGTAATGTATATTAATTGCGTAAATAATATGTTTGTACAATTTTTTAATTTTTTTTTTGTTTTATGGATATTCAAATTTTACTATCAGATTAAAAAGATTAATTGCTTTATCTAAAAGAAAAAAAAGATTGACTTCCCTGACACGAATTTGGTTCGGGCTGTGTGCCTCACTTTTGGAATCTCAAACCAAGTTTTGAGTTTGTGTTGTCATATGCTGAAGCAAATTTTATAATAAGTTAAAATTAGGTTAAAGGAACCTACGAGAATAATGGCATAAGTAATCTTATAGGAATATTAAATAAAGTGGTAAACGTGATAACGAATATTTTAAAAAATATAATAAAATAAAATTGGTAAGTATGTTTGACGATTTTGGCAAAAAGTCTTTTCCTCATTGTACTATGGCATATTTTTGGTCTGTTATGATGGAGGTTCTTTGTTGCCCTGCCAAGGCTGAATACCACACTTTTATGATTCTCAAAACCAATGGTGCTGAAAGTATTTCAAAATTTTGCCTTACAAAAATGCGATTGTGCATATAATTACAAAAATGTTGCCTAAAGGTCGAGACTTATCTTGCCTCAATTCATCTCTAGGTCTCAATGTGCATGTGTCAGCGAGACAAATTACACAAAATGTTTTGATTGCCTTTCAAACTTTGCAAGCAATTAGGTACAAAAGACAAGGACCTGGACTGTGTGTTTTCAAATTAAATGAGTAAAGGGTGGAATGAATGATCTTCCTTGAAGTCCAATATGAATATATTGTAATGAGTTAACAGTTCCATTATTCAATTTTTTTGGTGAATTTTAGATTTACTGCTTTTTTTTTTTTATACGGATTTAGGACATGTTTGGTGCATAGTATAAGATAAGGCTTAATATTATAAAATCTGATAGTATAAGACCTGATTGAATTTTAATACTATCCAGCGTTTGGCACGGTATTATATAAAAATAATATATTGCATAAGATGATATCATCTAGTATTTGATAATGCACTGTATAATACTATATAGGATAAAAATAAATATCCTTTAATAAATAATTTATATAATTCTTCAAAAAATGTCATATGATATTAATTTTTATAAAAATTTATTGATCAGTGTGTCAAAAACATAAATTAATTTTTATAAAAATAAAAATATTCAGTATTTTAAAAATTAATATATTGAAAAATTAATTTTTATTTTAATATATTAATATTAAAATAATATATTAATTTTTGAGAATTACACTCATCATTGGTCAACAATGTTAATACACCAACCTCTTATCAAGCCTTATCCCTCTCCTTTAGGCCGGATTAAGTTATACATCGTTTTGATGCAGTAAGGGATCCTGCTGTATAAGCTTATACTATACGATGGTCACACCAAACAACTGAAAATGTCATAACGTATAGTATAAGCTTATACTATCAGGCCTTATACGTCACACCAAAGAGACCCTTACTGCTTTGATATTTCATGCTCCTGTTATACTTATACATGGATTAAGAGGTATATCAATGGTGAACGAATGCAACTTGCATCTCGCATTTAATGTTTGGTAGTATAAATAGACTAGGCCAGCCTATAATGGTCTATAATCTAATCTATATTAAATCAAACTTGACTATTAAATATAATCAAATAGAATAGGTTCAGGCTTATAAAAAAGTTTGATTAGAAAACATCATAATCTTTCTTTTAAATGCCAGACCTATAAGCTTATAGGTGGCTTATATCATATTATTTATTTTAAATAAAAAAATAAAATTAATTTTAATGATTTTGAATAATAAAGTAATAATATTTTAATTATTGAATGTTTAATAGGTTTAAATAGACTAACAGACTTGGGATAAGACTTTTGTTTTTAAATATAAGTAAGATGAATTACCAATATATATGTATATATAGGGATAGGATACGTTTACAAATTTTTTTTGCAAATTACACTAAGTACGATCGGTCGTACACTGCATGATTAAAGTATGACAGGTCGTACTTAGTGTAGTTTGTAAGAGTTTGTAAACAAAAAGTTTGTAAATATAACATGCCCCATATATATATATATATATATATAGGGGCAGGATCCTTTGACACCAGTGTCAAACTTTGAAATTTGACACCAAATCCTAACCGTTGATTTTCGTCAATCAATGGTTATCATTTATTGGAATTAATAATTGATTAATAAGTTTGATTCCTAATAAATGATAACCGTTGATTGGTGGAAATCAACGGTTAGGATTCGATGTCAAATTTCAAAGTTTGACACCCGTGTCAAATGATCCTATCCCATATATATATATATATATATATATATATATATATATATGGGTTTAGTGAGTGTATAATGACTGGATGTAAAATTCGGTCCAGTGAACTAAGTTCTCACGCGAGAACACAGTTATAGTAAAATTTATAACTATGTTCTCCCGGAAGAACACCTGAAGAACACCATTATAATATTTATTGCACTAAGTTCTCGCGGGAGAACTTAGTACACTGGACGGTCCAGTGATTGAATTTTTAATTTTTCCTATATATATATATATATATATATAGGGAAAAACATTTCTGCAGCCACTTTAGATAAGGTCGTCTACAGATACCCTTTTTTAACTAAGTACGACCGGTCGTACATTAAAAGTGCATTTTCTCTCTCCGCCATGTCAGCCGACAATGTCTGAGAAGAGAGAAAAAAAGAGCAGCTTTATTGTTATAACTAAGTACGACCGGTCGTACTTAATTAAAAAAGAGTAGTTGTAGATAACCTTATCTAAAGTGGCTGTAGAAATACTTTTCCCATATATATATATATATATATATATATATATATAGGGGAATGATCCATTTATAATTTTTTTTTACAAATTTTTACAAATTACACTATGTTCTCCCAGGAGAATATAGTGTAACCTAGTGTTCTCCTGGGAGAACATAGTATAGTTTGTAAGAGTTTATAAACAAAAAAGTTTGTAAATATAACTTTCCCCATATATATATATATATGTTCACTTTTTTTAAGGTCAATGTAGATAACTTATCTACATTCAGATCAAAACGACGTCGTTTTGAGGCGAAAATCACGTTATTTTTGTAATTATAATGTTTTTCAGGGTTATAATAGTCTTTTTCATTATTTTTTAATTTTTCTATGCAAAATGACGTCGTTTTAAGAGTGAAGGTGGATAACTTATCTACATTCACTTTAGAAACATTAAAGCCTATATATATATATATATATATATATATATATATAAATGTGTGTGTGAAAGCATTAAACATAAAAAATCATAACCATACAAAAAATGAAAGCATTAAACATAAAAAATCATAACCATAGAAAAAATGAAAGCATTAAATGTGAAGAATCATAACCATACATATGTCATTGTTGTACGTAAAACGGCGGTAGAAATGATTTTACCATATATAAAAATAAGACGAGACTTATAATTTGGACATTCGCAAGACTAACAGGATTAGGCCTAAAGTATTTTACATAAATTTAACCTATTTAAATCAAAGTTTAATCTAATCTATTTAGACGCTAATGGCGTCTTTCTTCTTTTTCTCTAGAATTGAAATGCACCAGCTAAATTTGGATAAATCAGCCATTTTTTCAGCCCATACTCTCTTTGCCAACAACAAACAATGAGAATTCTGGGTGTTTCCTCTTAGCTCTTTGGCACATAACGAATTGCATTTTTCCAGTGAGAATTGACAGAAGCATAAAAAGGGCTCATTTTCTAAGTATCAAGGCATGTGTGTGAATCATGTTCCTTCACTCAATAGTTAAAGCTTCAAGAGTAGTTGGAATAAGATAACTTCTTTGTTCGTTGTTCTTTTCTTTCGGAAATGTAACGGAAAAGAAAGGTT